GGAAGAAGAGCTTGGCCATGATGTCGGATGAAATAACGGTTCGACAAAAGCCGATTTTTTTTTATCTTCTATAGACGATGCTATTCGAAATAGGCATTGCTAATAAGACTGTTGAGTTGAGCCGACAAAGCTAAGCGACTATTTAAAAGCCGTGATTCGCATAGTTTTCAAAAGCTTTCGAAAAGTGCTTCGAGTTTGCATTCCCTTTTATGAGGATGCGTCGGTCGGACAGCTTTCCACAAACACCGAGTTAGCGAAACGAGATTGACGAATTTAGTGCATTGTTCCTTTCGCAGTGCATTCGCAACATATTTGGTCATCGGAAGCAGAGACGTTGAATTGAGACCAATGTGACTATGAAGTGAAATAGTCAAGCGTCGTCAATAAAATGTTGACTTGGTTAACGCTTGACGCTGTCCACTTGTCTGTGCTTTATCGACTAACTTTTTGGGTACGTTGAGGCCAACGTTATCACTGGCGTATTCAACAGGAAACCATCGCGTTTTGTGATGCTAAGCTAAGGTTCGCGAACACAATGGGCTTTCGCCAGACTGGTGGTCGTTCTACGTTTCCAGGCAATATCGAGTCATTCACTGATTCGCGTATAAGGCGACGACGAGGAAGCAACGGGTGTTACTCGTTCACACGGATATCCCAAGAATGAACACTTTCCTGATCGCTGGCCTCTTCGTCGCCTGCTTGATGGTCGTTTCCGACGCTGCCGGTCCGGACCTTGCGAAAAAGATTAAGGTAAGCCCTCAAACCTATTGTGCTGCCCGCGGAGGTTAACAATTTTCCTGGTATGTGCGTGTGCCTTATCGATCCTTGCCTCTTGAATACGCAGAACGTTTTATATGCGTATCGGCAAGGGTTCAAACCCGCGCTTCTCGCGGGGTAATTAACGGATGTGGTCAGTACAAAAACCGTCTCTAGCAGTGCTCTGTTTTATCGTCATTTCCTTAGCACTCGGCAGCTACCCTCTGCTCGTTTAGAACGTTAAGGAGAACGCGGAACTTACCGAAGAACAGAAGCAAGCTGTTATTTCCCGCCTGGCCGAGGGATCCCCCGGAGCAGCGGCCAAGCGTGTCAGCGCAAAGGCTGTCCCAACGAAGGGACCCGCAGAGGTCCGCAGCCCCGCCGCCTCTAAGCGTACCGATGTTGAAGAGAAGATAGAAGACGATGACGAATGAACTATGCCGTGAGCTAGGAGAGTTATAAATTTCCGAAAACGCAGCTGGTCTTACTATCTCGGAGGCTAAAGCAAGCATATATCGAACGCAGAGTTGCAAGCTTACCAAAGACAAGGCTGATGGACTTAAAGATTTTATACGGGTCTTTGAAATGGTGTGAATAATCTCGAAATTAGATGGCGGCAACATTCCCAAGTCTAAGCCGAAAACTTTCGGCTCATTCAAAATTTGCTGATTCAAAGCTTATACTTTGGATGGCAGTAGTCCTGCTAGCACTTTCTACTAATTGCGATAAAAAGATTTTGTGGTGTACTGTGCCGTATTTTGACTCAATAGCGTTTCGGTTTTGTCCTTCAAATTACTCTCTCGCTCGTCATCCGTGTTTTTCTCCGTCACGAAGAAAGGCGCTAAGCTGGACTTGTAGCGTTTTCGACACGTGCCGTCTCTCTCTATCGACACGCGCTAGCTTGATTAATGTCCTCAAGTAAATCGCAAAGTTTGTCTTAGCTAGGCGGCTCTACTGGTGCACTCCGCTGTGTATGTGCAAAAAGAATGCGTCCAGCGTTATCGAGGGCTGAAGTATCCCGCAGTAATAATCGACTTCTTATTTTTCGTAGAATGCACAAGCTTCACAAATAAGGCGTCCCTTTGAATGTAAGCTTTACCCTCTGATCGAACATGCGGAAGTGCTGGGAAGACATAGCAGAACAACATTTACGATGCAAACCGTTCTCACACGTAATGAGGCCAGCGGAGGAACCTTATGAATACTTGTGGCTACCGATCTCTCTAACGCCCGTCATAAACCCGACGACTTTTGTCTTCTTTGTTGGCAGCTTCGAACAACAAGGATGGTTGCCCTCGCTTTTCTCATCGTCATCCTCTGTTCAGTTTGCCTCGTTGGAGCTGAGTATCCTTTTGACCAGACATGGCCGCCACCCGGACCAGGCCTTTTTTCGCGCTCCGAGAGGTCCCACGGCGAAGAGGGAATTCCAGGGGGCCTGACATCGGTCGCCAAAAAGCGGTAAGTCATTGCTTTCGCAAACAGTCACTTAGTTTCGTTGAAGTTTAGAGTGTACGACGTGCTCCATAACGACGAAATGACAAAGACTCAACAGCTACGTGAATTGGAGCGGCTGGTCCAAGAACTAGTGGCGAAAAATGCGGTAAGTCCGACCCGCATTTTCGTCCCATATCGCGAACAGAGTGAACAGTGAGGTAAAACGGAACGGTCTAGAAGTCGCTTAAGGAGCACGAGGAGAAGCACAAGAAGGTCGAGGAGGCTGTCAAGCAAGAGGCGACTGGCGCGCTACGCAAGATGAGCGACACGGCGAAGGTTCTTGAGAAGAGGATCCGTGATGACTTCGATCATTTGCATTGACGGGTGCACAAGCGTACCGTGCACACCGAGGTATCTGAGACTAATAATAAAAGCAGGAACTATGTGTGTCCATGGTGTCTTTTTATGCGTTTTTATGCTTCTTAACGGAAGCGGAGCATGTTCGCGGGAGGATACACGTGGACAAAGCGTTCGTGCGGTGCATCGTCACGATTCAAATCTGGAATTTGGGCAAAATTATAAGTGAACACGTTGTCGGCTAGACACACTCTACACTCAAAGTCATAGTTAAGCCGCATATGGGAGCGCCACAACGACACTTGGAACGATTCTCTCCAACAAGTAATAGCTGAGTCCAATCTTGGCGGACGGCGGTGAGCCATCGCTTCCCAAGACTCCGAAACGACACTTGCTGGTAGGGCTATGGTGTAGTCCGATATGGTTATGCCAATGGTTAGAAGGCCTCTAGACTTCATCGGTTACAACGCATGAAGCAGAACTTGCTAACATTTTGGCGTCGTGAGGATCGAATTCCGTTTTTTCGATCTTCATGTGTGAAACTCTACAGTTGTAGTGTCGTAGACGTACCCAGTTGTACTATGCGTGGGCTTTACCCCAACTGGACACGCGGAATTTCCGCAGACTTAATAATAAAAACTTAACAAAGATCGATGACTTTTAGCCAAAATTCCCCCAGGTACGATTAATTTCAGGCTTTCAACAAATCCCATAGTACGAGCGGGTTACCTCCTTCAAAGGAAAACTTAGCACTGTGATGAGCGTCGGGGGTATAGCTCAGTGGTAGAGCGCCCGCTTCGCATGCGGGAAGTCAAGGGTTCAAACCCCTTTACCTCCAAATGTTTTTACACCCTTTTTGCGGAAAATTGAGCAATTATTTTCACACAGTGCGGCTAGGAACAGCGTTAGAATGTGATAACTTAAGCGCTTACCATTATTCCAAGGAGTACCGACGGGACTGTGACAGTGAGACAGGTTGCATATGGCCTAGATTCTCCCTAGTTCCATGAAACCTATGTCGTGCAAAAACTGTCCTTTACGCGGCTCCAGAGAGAATAGATGTTTTCTAGTTCCAGAGCAGGTGTTGTAATGTAGCTTGAGACCCTATCCGGATGTGAACAGGCCTAAACGCCGGGTCGACGGTTTGGCTGGACCCAAAAGAAGGGAAGTAATCTCCCAAGGAATATTACGCTTGTCGCATAAGTTGGATGTTTCCAGGGCGACTTTTTTCTTGCAGTTAAAACATACAACTTGAAAGCATTTCATACAATCTTTTACTTACCCTTTACTGGGCCGGAGGCGGGCAGCGACGTGCACTTTGAGGCACACAAGCGGAAGCGCTTCGCAAGCTTCTACAGTAACCTATCCGTACATACTATGGAACTAAAGGCTAGAAACTTCATTTATAATTTTATGTCGCCGTTTGTAGCCAACACTTTGTGTAAATAACTGCTCAGTTTCCGCATGAAAATGAAGGAGCAAAAAGGTTTGGAGGTAAAGGGGTTTGAACCCTTGACTTCCCGCATGCGAAGCGGGCGCTCTACCACTGAGCTATACCCCCGACATTCGTGTCAGCGCTACATGGTCTCTTTGAGGGCCGGAGGGATATCAGTGTTACGAAAAGTCGCCCGTTTTGGCTACAAACCGCTAAGAGTACGAGTAAATCTGAAGTTTAACTATCCATCGATCTGTTAGACTTTCATTTATTGGCCTAGCGAATTTCAAGAGTGGAGAATCCCGGAATAAATCTTGCATTGCCGACGACTACTTTTGATCACCGGCAATGGCGCTGCATGCACTAAAACATAAGCGTGACGCGCTTGACATTGCTACGACGAGCGTGTCAAGACGATCGTCGGGAACACCAGCGCGCTCTTTGCCGTTCAGCACTCCGACGCGATGCTAAGTGACGTTCGTCTAACTATTGTAATCAAGAGTGCGAAGATCACAGCGTGCACCCGGAAGTAGGATAACCATTGTACCAGATCTGACTTTAAGCATTGCTTCTGGGATTCCGTTATTGATAACCAAATACCCTGTCACGGTTCGTGTTTTTGAGCCGTTTCATTTCATTCATTTTTGCGCCGTAAAAAAAGCTTCGTGGATGAGCATTGTGCTCCGTATGCGGGTATAAATGCAAGGAATGTCGAGTGAGGTCCCACGTTGCTGGTTAAGCATGCGTACGCTCGTCTTCCTCTTCGCTGTCGTAGCTCTAGTGGCGGCAGAATTCGACGAGTTCTGGGAACCGCCGTCTCGGCGAAGCGGGTCCCTGAAGCTCGACTCCGAGGAGAACGACACCGAGTCCGCCAAGAAATCGGAACGGTAATGCCGCTCGGATGTTATGGTCGAAGGCCGCATTGAAAGCAGGGCAAATGATCAATGCACAAAAGGAACGCTTCATTCCACCCAAGCCTCACCGTTTCCCAAAATCTGTGAAATTTCCGCCCCCTGACACCTGTGACAGCTATGATGATGGGATGGGATATCAGCAGGATACTTCCATTCACTAAACGGGACCTACAATGCGGGTGTCGGCGTATGCCTACCGCTATGGTTACCGCTATGACCACTGCACAAAAGGAAAGCTTATTTCCTGTGACAGCTATGATGAGGGATATCAATAGGACATTTCTTTTCGTTGAACGGGACTTACAATGCGGGGTCGGTGTATGCTTACCGCTATGGTTATGCGAGAGCATTTAGAGTCGTGGAACAGCGGGACGACGGATTCAAGCGTCACGAGCACAAGCAGAAACCAAAGCACGACGATAGCAAGGAAGTGGAGCGGTTCTCGCAGCTGCTCGAAGCCTTCTCGAAGAAGCTAGAGGTTAGCCAATGCACTAATCTCCAAATCGTACAGCTCGATTTTCAGGCCTTCCGCAGAGACCATGACCGCAGCCACGAAGATCAGCGCTCTGAAGAGAACAAGCTGATTCGTCCTGCGTTGCTTTCGGCCGAGTCGCGTCCCCAGCCAGCGAAGCTGCTCGGTCGCATTCGCAGCGTAAAAGACAAGAAGGGTAGCGACGAAGATGTTGACTAGACATGTCTTATTCTTCAGTTAAATACGCATGTTGCAATGAATTAAAGCAACCGCATACGTCGATCATTTTATTTGCAAAAGAACCCGTACACGCGCCACTAGGAAGTAGTTTGGAAGCAGTGATAGAAAATTAAGATTGGTTGAAAGTTCTCGTTTTTGCGTTACTCGGTTCCATTACAAAGGTCCTCCGAACAGCAACAGAAGCTGACGGGGATTCCCTGGAACGTGGTCGTCCTGCACGTGTCCCGCGAGAGCTAAAGGCGGATTGTTGGATGAAACGTTGTCGAGCGGTAGAGAGCAGGACAAAACGATGTGCTGTAGACACCGTTGGCTCCGACCAGAATTTTCGGGCATTGAACTGAATTTGTACTGAGCTGGTTCTAGTGCAAGCCAGAGAAAGTTCAATGAACTGGCAGGTGACCTAGGGCTTGCAAAGCATTCAACCGGAATTTTCCGAGCTCTCAACTGAACTGGGCCTGCTTCAAGTCAAATCTGATCGGTTCAACGAAAATTCACTGTACTGGCTAGTACAGTTAAGACAAAGAAAATGTTTTGAACTTTAGTGCTGCAAAAATGTGACTACGACGAATGCTTGCTTACCAGGCACCGGTACGTGGAACAGCCAGCCTTTGCGGCGTTGAGCAGAAAGCCGCCCGTCGCCGTCATGTTGTAGCAGTAGTTCTTGTTGCAGTCCTTCGGCTCACCGACAATGCCTTGGCCACCAACTAGTTTGTATCCCTGAACATAGCGTTCGTTAATTCCATCTAAAGCACTTGCTAAGTTAGTGAAGCACCAACGTGCTTGGCGACAAGGCTAGTCTTTCGGGTGCCCTTTTGAAGCGACCTGCAAGTTTAGCTACACAGTTTCACTGGCGGTATAGCACGCTTAGTCTCATCATCATGAGGTAGACATGCCTTGTAGGCATATTTTCAGGATCCTTCTCAGGTTTCGAGATTCACTGCAGGATTCCTGCTAGCAGGAAAGCAACGTGACTAGGCAACTGTGGTTACAGACTGAATCCTGTCTGAATTATCTGAATGACATTAACCGCGGTTATGGTGCCGTCGATAAAAATGATAGATATAGTGATGAAAAGTCTCCCAGTAATATAAACGAGCGCGTCTCGTTAAGGTGCTTACTCACAAAATTTACTACTACCTTTGTGACGACGGTATACAAGGCGTTTCTTAGGGGCTCTGAACGGCCATACTAAGAAGCCTTGGCCCATAACAGACTTTCTAGCCTCTGAACGGAACTCAGTACGGACCCGGAAATTCCCTAAGCCTGGTCCGATGTTAGCGGTAAACGATTTGAGCCATGCAATGCAGTGCGTATGTTCAACACAAAAACAACTACTTTGAACATACCACTAGAACGCATTTCCACCACCACCACCTCCTCCTCCACCACTTCTTAGCGGGTGACCCAGTCAGAACTAACCGTGTAACACTGAAGACCGAGTACATCCGGTAGTAGGAGTGCGCAGAGTACCGTGAATAGCGCAAGGTTCACAAAGATCATTCGCATTGTTGACCACGAGGAGCAGACGAAGCGGACCTGCAAAACAAGCGTCAGGAGTCGTTCGTCGGAAGTTGATCGACTGGGAGAACAATTGGTGGGCAGCGGGCGATCACTTTCGAATCAATGCAATTGTCCGTCTAATTATTGACAGACGCGTCACTATGCTCCTCTCGGGCTACCGCTTGGGAAAGGGCGGGTGTAATGAGACGTCGAAAGTTGGTTCGAAGTAGTTTAAACCGGAACTAACGCTACCGCTTATGGGTGCAAGGAAGTCCTGACAGTCGAGAAATAGTAAGCGCAATTTTCGATGGCTAAGCAAAAACAATGCACAGTGAAAGCTATGAGTAATTGGCACCCTGTCGATAAACATCCGGCGGGATCAGAGATCAGTGCGCGACAGCTACGCGATCCTGCTGACTCATCGGTGGGCAAAAACTGGCGGTGCACTCGCACCTTTTCCACCACAAATCGCGGTCTAAAAGGTGTGTGCGGCGTCATGGTAAACAGAATAATGTAGCAGTTCAGGCGTGAGTTCGCAGTATTCCGTTAAAAGATTGCTGTAGCAAGCGTTGTTGCAAGCACAATGCGCGTTAAGTGCCTCGGTTGGTGGAACGTTAGCGCTCCGGAAGGGCATGTGAAATGTCAGTAGAGCGTGAGCTGTCAGATTCCCTTCGCGCGCAGTCTCCTAACCGCATCCAGCAGCTGCTGGGGCAAAGCTGTGGTCTAGCAAAAGCAGTGCATGGACGATGCGTAGAATGATTAGCACGCGGTCAACAATACACGCTGAACTTTAGGGCTAAAGGGGTCACAGATCATTGTGCGACCGCCATGTGTTCATGAGTGACTCATCGGTCGGCAACAGATTGTCGGTGCATTCGCACCCTTTCAGCCGAATCGCTAACCTTAAAAGTCGTGTTTAGCGCCCATGATAAGCGCAATAGGGGCAAGCGTCTGGGCTTTGGTTCGCTGGGGATCCCACAACAAGAGGTCGCATTCTTCCCGTTCGTTGCAAGTAAAATAATGCCCGTTAAGTGCCTCATTTGGTGATTCGTATAGCGCTCCTAAAGAACATGACAAATGTCAGTAGCGTGTGAGGTGTCAACGTTCTCGTTGTCATCTCTTCTGCATCCCGGTTACTACACTACAAGCTGCTTAAACGCCCTATTCCGCGCTGATTGACCCGAGAATCAGGTCGGGTGAATAAGAACTATTGAAGTATAAAGTATCGTAAAACTATCAGCTTCCATACTGAATCCCGCATCTTGCGCAATGTCGTGATTCCAAATCAAAAGATAAGCACGTGGTGTGATGGCAGATAAAGACTGCCTGTATGAGGTCATTTAAGTGTCATCGGTTTAAGAAAGGTCAAAGGCCCACCGACGCTACTGGTCCGGAGGGATGGTCTCCTTGTCCGGACAAGGAGGTCCGGGATCTCCAAGCTTTACGTTATCGATGGTGCCGTACGCAACGACAATATATTTGTACGTGTACGTTAGTAATTAGCATAACTTCGACCAAGTTGTAGCTAAAGCTCTCAGTTTGGAAGGTAGACCACACCTAAAAGTATAACGGCAATTCAATCATAACTTGCATTATCACTTTTCTTGTCTTAACGGGACGTGCGCTCTGAGCTTACACCCTCTTTCCTGCAGTGGGCATTGTGCGGCCTTTAACCGTGCGCCGTCCCTGGCGCACCAGTTCGCCAAACGTCCGCAGAATACGCGAGAAGCACTGTCTTAGGCCTTCAGTCGAGCTTAGCAAACTTAGGCAGGCGCCAAAAGATCGTGCTCTGACAATCTCGACATTCAAGCTTGCACGAGTTCAGACTATATGCCAGTCAGAATAGCGGTGAACTTCTTATTAGAAAGGTGTTTCGCTGAACGGCAGAACAGCAGATGCGTGTCCGAACTAGGTTGCGCGTTGCTGCTTACATTTTATTTTGCTTACCGCCTACTTTACGTAAACTAAGTTCAGTTCGCACGCACAATGGCCCGCGTACG